TAGCACACCGAGCCATGGACACAGGTACAAGAATTGCTGCTGAAAATGGCAACAATTTCTACCTACAGTATATATATTTGAAAAGTAGACCGTCCAAGGTTTCTGAGGGTGTTTTTTAAATGTTTATATGACAAAAACTCGCAGTGTTATTTAAATGATTTGGCGAAATTTCTGTCAGGCGGGACCGCCGACCCCAGAGGGTTAAAATAAAGTGCACAAAACACGACTTTTATTATAATTAATTATTATTATTATTAAATTAATATTATTATTATTATTATAAATTTTTCGCATAACATTGCGATTAATCATGATTAATCAGACAAATCATGCGATTAATTACGATTAAAGATTTTAATCGTTGCCCAGCACTAAAATATATATATATATTTTTTTTTTTAACCATTTTTAACCCTGGCCATTTTAATTTGAATATAGGAAAACAACCCCACCCTAAACAAGGATGCCGCCATTGCAATGGCAGAAAAGCTAAAGAAGGAAATTCAGAAGAAAAGGTCTGTAATTCCCACAGAGGTCCGTTATGATTCTGAAGAAAGTGAATATGACTGTGCCCGACATCAAAGGAGTATATCAAAACGACTGGTAAGGATATATTTTGTTGAATTATAAATTAAACATGTTCAATACAAATACAAGTTTATTTGCCAGTAAATTATAAATTTGCATCTATAAACTAAAATTAATAAAATAATATGGTGCAGTGTGCAGCCTTCCTCCCAGGGTTTCCCAAACATGCTTCCAGAGTTCTATGGCTCTGCACGTTTGTGGATACCCGCACTCGTCTGACGACTGAGAAGGTAACAACTTGATGCTTTCTTTTCTTTTTCTTTTAGTTGGTAAGTGATTCAGAGGATGACGGCTACTGTACATCAAACCAAGTACAACTCAAAGTGCCAGCTGTTGTCTTGACATAGAGACCATAAAGGCTCTTAAAGGTATGTTTTCTATGCTACATACAACCATCACATGCATATTAACTATTTTAATAGTGATAAAAAAAACACAAATGTAATGCAGGATAGTATCAAGTCAACACAATGACAAACCTTTTTAAGTAGAGAAGATGTGTTGAGTACAAATACCATTATTGTTTGTGTGACAAAATTATTTCAAGGTAAATAAGTGCAAATAAAATGTGTTAAATAACATTGTGCTTCTTCATAAATGGCTTTATGGTTCAAATGTAAATCATCCAATAATTTTGTATTGTTACTGCAGAAGGCCAAAGTGTTGTTGGTGATGCTCAAAGTTATGCATATTCAGTAGCATATTTATGAAAAAGCATATCACTTTACATTAAATCTATGCATTTAAATGAAATATTTACCTTCATACACAGCACTAACCAAAACATTGCAAAATACAATTTCTCTTCAGAGATACCTGCAATTGTCAAATCCCTAAAGGATGTAGTGTCAAAATTGCCATTGGCTGGCCACATGGGCTCACCACCCCCCTGGAACACTCCAAGCAGCGAATCAGCAGGACCTTCAAGCTCTGATACACCAGTTTCAGCAAGTTCACCAGTCATGGTATTAAGCCTTTTCTTGTAATTATTTTGTTACATTTTGCAGATGACCTTTAATAGTTCCTTACAAAATAGGCAATAACTGCATCTAACTCATGTTATTGCCATATTTTAAAAACTGAATTATTTATTTAACTAACTTTCAGTGTATATTGCTATCCTTGTTTGTTGCATTGGGTGTATTAGATTAGGGCTGCCCAGCTAGGTAATTAGATTTCAAAGAGCACAGCCCACTTCTACATAATGTTCAGCTAAGGTTATCCACATAATTATCCAGATGAGGTGAGCAGGACGCTGAAAGAACAGAAACACTCTTTGCCTCACACCAATTGGTGGTGGGCAGTGGTAGCCTAATGGTTAGGGAGTTGTTCTTGTGATCACAGGTTGCTGGTTCAATTCCTAGGCCAGTAATGTGTCACTGAGGTACCCCTGAGCAAGGTATCGTCCCACATCACTGCTGGTGTAGCTGCATGCCCCACTGCTCCTACATGGATGGGTTAAATACAGAGGTCATGTTTTATTGTGGTGTGTTCACAATGATAAATACTCACAAATGCTGTTGCTACTATTGTGTATTCTGTGGTTGGTTCAGTACCAGAACTTTCAGTTTGGTACAGTTCCTGGCATGGTAGATTGGTATTAGTTCTGTACCAATGAAACAAAATTAAATAAACATTTACATCAACTGATAAAATTAATAAACATCAAACAAGTGTAATTGTTTGTACATTGCATTAAATGAGTAAAAATGGCAACTGGGTAATTTTTGTATTATTTCTCATTCAGGCTTTTCAAGACATTAATGGTTATAATAAAGTTTGGCTAACCTTACATGATAAGTTCTAAAGATGGGAAATATTGTTAATAAGCACAATATTAGCACATAGATAGGGTACCCATATTTTGCTTTACACAGCATCTTAACCTTTGTTGGACATGGGATTGTAGGTCTGAAGTACATGACTAAAAGGAAGTTAATCATAAAGAAAAATTAAGCATAACATTTTGCTTTCAGGTAACATTGCCTAACTCCAACATTCAAGTCCAGAAAAGGCTCTTTGGTCGTTTGAGCAAAACCAGGATGTCACTTTATACACAAGAGCTGGCACTACTGCTTTTCGGGAAGGAGACATTGGCATCCTCATCGATCACAGGGAAGCATGCAAGCAATCATAAGGACCTGCCAGAGAAAGACCAGCTAGACCCTGAAAAGGTTGAGGCATTAATAGGTATGTCTTGTGCACAATTTAGGCAAGTTGCCTATTGTAGTTTTTGTAAAGTTTGCATTTCCGTGAAGTCTTAGTAAAACAAATCTATTCACAATCATATCAGTTCCATGACACTGAAAATTTGGAAAAGCTCTGTAAATGTGAAAAGAGAGGGATCTCAACCAAACTCAGTGCTCCTGATAGCTCCAATGATGTGTGGAAATACATTATCCAGATGTTAGGGAAGTGATGTCCAGAAATCCCTTTTGTGTGTGCAAGTTACTATTGCAACTCTAATTAGGGGACTGATTGTGAACAAAGGGTGACCTGTGTACACACAGATTTTGCAGATGAGATTTCATATTTTTGGTTTGCCTTCATTTGAAACTCTTGATTTAATGCTCAACATTTGTCTGGTTCAGTAAAACTGATCTGAAATTTTCTCAACAGATTGCATCATTGCACAATTCCCAGGGACCTCTGCCCAAGAGGTGAAGAATATTTTGAGGAGAAAGTGCAATAACGAGAGCTTTGCAAAACAAAAAAACAGTAAGTAAAGTGTTGATGCTGATTGTTCTTTTGTTGTTTTGATTTATATGTTGTGGTTGATGCACATAATAAAAAAAACTTTTGTTAATGTTGTCTCATATTTTCTTCCCAGTTTTAACGGAATAACTTTTCCATAGTAATATGCTTACTTAATGGTTGTAGTATATTTAAAGTATGATCCTTTTATGGCATGTAACAACTCACTACTAGCTTTTAATGTACTATATGTGCATTTAAACCGCAGTAAAATTAAACTATTAATGCTTACATATCATGTAAATAGTATATGGGCAATATATTTTCAGCATCTTACAAGTATGTTTAAAAGTACATTACATTAAATCTATTTAAAGTATATTTAAGTATGAAATAAGCTGGGTCAAAAAAGTATGAAGTCAATACACTGAATATATTTTTAAGGTATTAAATTAATATCATTATCACAACTTTAGTATATTAATTATACTTAAAGTTGGGTCAAAAAAGTCTGATAGAAGTATTCTTTAAATAGGGTGTGCCTAAGTATATTAATGGTATACTATTTTTTCACAAGGGTAGCCTCCCTGGGAGCACGACTCAGAAGCCGTAGGTTACCCAAATTTACTCTGCGCCAACGAAGACGAGGAGAAGAAGGATCCCTGTGCAGGAAAATATCATCCGAGCCGATGACAGGTACCAGCCAGGCGTCGACAGGGTCCAGATAGCGCTGCGCAACAAACAAACGCTGTGCCGATCCATAATTATTAAAAGAAGCCATAGAAGAGTGTCCCACCCAAGCCTTCAACCTCACCAGCCGACCGCCTCGTTTACCCCGACGACGAGTGCGTTTACGCCAGACAGGTAAGGCCTGGGCCCGGAATAAGTGAGTGGGAATCCCAGAAAAAATCGGGGGCAGGGGCTTTTGTCCATCAAAATGTAAATGTAGAGTTGGGCAATCGTAAACCAGCAAAGAGTTGACATTTGAAGTCACAAACAAAATTAATAACATAAAAGGACACAACATTGGCAGAAATAGACGGCACGCCACACACACCGGCGCCATCTCTTCCTTGTATATCTGTGACTGCTGCATCTAATACCCTGCCCTGTTTGCCTCAGTAAACAATGTCTGAAAGCAGCCTGCATTTGGGTTGTGCGTTGTTTAATGTTGTGACACCGGAAATGAATAATATTGAACTCTTATGTATGTATAGAGCCGTTATGTTAACACATGATAAAAGTGTATTAAAATAAACAACAATGAGTCATCCTATATCTCTTTTTGAAAATATATTGATACACTGTATACATTTGATATACAGTCCAGCCCTAACCACTGGTCCATTTTGTTTCATTGTCCCAGGTGCTTATCCATGGTTAAAAAGGATGATCTCCTCAGCATGCATTTGCATCTCATTACAACTGAAAATAACACTGGCATTTAACAGGGAGAGAAGATTCATCTTGCATGTCTCAAATTACCAAGCAAAACAATTACTCTTTGTGAGTGTCTATTTTCTTTCAGTGTATCAATTTTATTCTAAGTACACAAGTAAATGTCAAAAGATTGTTTCCAGTTTCCATACATGCATTGCAATTATTTTGATGCCGTCCAAGAATGATTTAAATGACTTACCTTCTAATTAAATTATTCAGCAACGGTGTGAAATAAATTACACCTAACGTCTTTAGTTCCATCATTTAGATTTTTTTCCCAAATCAAATAAGCCACCAAAATTTACACATTCCCTTGATCACAAGGTAGACGTCAAACTTTTTACATCTAAAGGTAAGACAAATTAAATAGTTCAAATAACAGAACCCACATAGCAAACTATTACTGCTTCACTAAATTAATATTCACATAACCTGAAAAATAATTTGAATTGGTGTCTTGGAGAATCATTGCCTTTCACAGCAGAACTGTGGCCCTAAATTAAAGTCCAGGCATCCTGGCAATCATCTTTATGCTAAAACATAAAAGTTATCTAAATTAACAAAAAATAAATTAAAAACTAAAATATCAGTCATAAATAAAGGCGGACAATTATATCTATAACTGATTTGACCCATATAACAACTCTATCAGTTTTAGAATAACTTCAAGTAGATAATTAGAAGTTTGTGTACATCATATTTCCTACCTGCAGGTCCACCCCAACATATGGTCAGTGAATCAAATGTCAACCATTGCTGTATGTACAGTCTTATGAATCCTAATAAGCAGTGCTTAAAGCCAGCATCCCACTACACATCCACATAGACATTAGACATACAAACTCACGGCTACTGTATCACCATGACAAACAGATACAAAGCATGGACTGAAAGGGAAGTCATTTGTATCTTTTATGATTGTCAGAAATACTACCCTAACCATAAGTACTTTTGGCATATTGTGTATGGTAACTGCCTTTAGAACACCAAATTAGTGTATAGTGTATACCTATGGAAACTGCATTTAGTAATTATCTATAGATATATGAGCTGACCCCTACCATGAATAATACATCTGTTAAGTACTGTGAGTTACTATCATGTTAAGAATTTGCAGAAGTGGTGAACGAGAAAAGATACATATACTGTATAATGCAAATATAAGCAGGTTGTATTAAAGGATACTTTTCTTTACCTTGGTTTGATCTTGATTGTAAAACTGGGAACAGTACATGACAGTGTGATTTGTTGACACTGCACATGTCCCTACTGCTGCTTTTGTTAAAGCGTATCATATCAGGTATCATTTGGCCATTTAACTGGATCAAATATCATATCAATTCTTTCACCTTATGATGGTGTGAATTAGGTTTCTATGAGCAGGATTTGATTACCCCAGTCATTGTTACTATTGAGTTACCACAGAGTATTTAAAACAAGTTCAATTTTGCTCAAGAGCTGAATAAGTGGGTGACACCAATTTAGACTTCATTTGATTGCTTATATATGCTGATAGTCTAGCCCTTTCATGCACAACGTCCACATTTGAGGACTGTAAATTTAACTCCATTTCCTATTTATTTATCATATTGATATACTCCAAACCACTTGAGGGCAGTGTTAGTAGATTCATCGCTATATATTAACAATATGTATAATCTTGTATTTGGAATATTGACTGTTTGATTACATCATTAATTCAACATGGCTGACCGTAATGGCCATGTGCTAAATGCTCCAGGCATTTCTGTAAAAATGTTCTACTCAAAAAGGCAAAATCAGGTAAAAAAAAATATTATGATGTACAGGATAGTATGTTGGACAATTCTATGTTTTTAGAAATGAAATTTGAGGTAAAATATAGTTTGCAGACCTTAAAAACCAACTGTCCACATATGTGGACGTTGCGCAACAAAGGAGTTAAATGACCAAAAATCTGATTTTGTAATTAGGGAGGTTTTTTTTATTTATATTGTTCAAAGATTAATTTAACTACTTTATATTACAAGAAAACAAACATTTATTACGGTGCCAACCGTTTGAAGGGCGCCGGGACCAAACTGCTTGAAGAAAAAGAAATGGAAAACAAGGGAAGAGGAACTACATCTGTGGTATCCACTGCAGATAACATCACTGTCACACGCTGGCTAGACAGGTCTTTGATTCATATAGCGTCAACATGCGCAGGACAACATCCAGAAGACAAAGCTACCAGGTGGAAAAAGACAGAATCAACCTTAATCGATATCACTCGACCGTTTTCTGTTGCCTTGTACAACACGCACATGGGTGGTGTAGATTTGGTCGACCAGAATTAGACCTTTTAAGCTTTAAATCATCAATATGCCAACAGAAGAAAAAATAAGAGGTGGTACATGCGCATATTTTTCCATTTTTTAGATCTTGTATGTGTGAATGCATGGCGCCTTTACCAGAGAAAAAATACAGCAGCAGAATTAGACCTTTTAAGCTTTAAATCAACAATAGCACAAGGTCTGATCAGTGCTGGGTCCTTGGAAAAGCGCAGGGGAAGGCCAAGCCTGACACAGGCTCCAAAGAGAAGGCATCAGGTCAATACTGTCCATGAGGTGCGGCACGGGATTGGGCAGCACTGGCCAAGAAGTGCACCCATCAAGAATGCCATGAGGTGCCGCTTTGAGAGGTGCCAGAAGAAGACCAGATTCATCTGTGTCACATGTCAGGTTGCACTCTGTCCTGACTGCTTTGAAGGCTTTCACACAAGATAGAGAAGTTATTTGGGGAAAAAAAATCAGTTATATATAAATCAGAGATATATTTAACGTTAGTTCTTACATTACATCTTGAAAATCTTTACATGTTTTTCATATAATAGTATTGTTGTAATCATTTTTCAACTGGAAACATTTTAAAAATATGTTTGATATGTTTATTAAACATTATCTTCTAAATTGCATGTTAAAAATACTTTATATGCTGTTTATAACATAACATACATGATTATAAAATCAGCTTTTGAAACTTGAAACATTTTAAAAAACTGTTTGAGATGTTTGTAAAACATTATCTTCTAAATTATATGTTAAAATCATAATATGCTGTTACATATTATAAATAACAGGACATGATTGTAAAAATCAAAATTTTAAACTTGAAACACATATTTTTAAATAATTTTGATACGGTTTAAACATGATATGTTACACAGCGTGTTTAAAAAAATCATTTTATGAGCTTAATAATATATCCAACACATCCTGTCATTATATACTTGAAAAATCAGTTGTTTTTTTACATTAAAGTTATATAATGGTCCATATTTTCTGACGTCTCTCTTTATTCATTTTTACCCCATTGTTGCGCAGTGTCCACATACGTGGACAGTAAAATAACTTCTATATAAAATTATATTTTAAAAAAATTCAAAATGATTTTCAGTTTTAGCCTCATTTAGAGTAATAAAATCAATATAAAAAAAATCTAGACAATTTTTTTCATAGTGCGTGCATGAAAGGGCTAGCATAAGACTCATATCAGTCATGATCATGATATAAATCAAGTCATTATTTCTTCAAGGAGTAGCGTCAGCAGGAAATTTTAATTGGGAGCCAGACCACAGACCTCAAAGAAGAAGTGCCTCACCTAATCAAAAGCCAACGCATTAGTTTGCTACAAGAGGCGATATACAGGTACTGGTTGAATCAGCCCGAGGTCCAGAGCAACCCCATGGCACTGGCTCTAGCCAGCCGGAGCGGGAGCGTCTTGCAGGAGATGTCACCGCCTGGGAATGCGCACCTATTTGGCAGCTGGTGCAGAGGGTGACGGAGACAAGAATCCGCCAGAGAGTTCTTGCCATCGAGCTACCCTCCGCTTCACCATCGGAGCTCCCTGAGACACCCCAACCTCTACCGACAACCGCCAACCAAAAGAGAAAGAAGAAGCGGAAAGAGTGGGGATCAGAGGAGGAACCAACAATCTTCCTGGGGGCCGTCTCCATCACCTATCAGGAGGAACCCCTCCCGATCCTAAACCCAGCGGTGTTCACCCCGGATGCCACCTACAACGTTTTGTGCATACAGGTGCCCAAAGCCCGCATCGCCGCCGCGTAGCTGCCACCGCTGCCAGCTTACCCCTTCTGGGAAGCATGCCTGGCTCTTAAAGGGGCCAGGTCAGTATGGGATGCCATCCCGCAGGTCCTGACGGCTCCTAAATGGGCATGTCTGCTTCTAAGGCGCCAACCGTAGCTGCTATGCCTGTGGTTCCTGACTAGCCTGATGTTCCTGACCTGCCCGTGTCTTATGTTCCTGACCTGCCTGATGTTCCTGGCCTGCCCAACCTGCCTGACATTCCGAAGGTTCCAGAGCCGGCGGTCCCTGCACTGCAGCCCACACAGGCTCCTGCTGTAACTGAGGCCCCTGCAGCGCCCCCTGTGGTTCTTGCAGCGCAGCCGCTCTGCGGGGTTCTGATCCCGGCTGCTTTGTCGCCCCCTTCGGAGGCTCCAGTCCCGGCAGCTGACGTGCCCCCCGTGGAGGCTCCAGTCCCAGCGGCTGACGCGCCACCCACAGAGGCTCCAGTCCTGGCCCCGGCTCCGCCCACGCCTGATGTCCCGGCTCCGGCACCTGATGTCCCTACTCCGCCCATCCCTGCTCCGCCTGTCACCCACAGAGGTTCCGGCTCCAGTCCACATGGTTCATGTCCCAACTCGTGCATCACCAGTCCCTGGCCCTGAGGAGGTCCATGAAGGCTCGAACCTCACTGAGGGGTTGCACCGGCCATCGCCCCGGCATGGTCAATCACGGCCGGGTCACCACCTTTCAGTCTCCTAAAAGGGGAGAGGACATCTGCGCAGGGATCAAGTCCTGCCTGCCCTGCCCCTTGGCTCACCCTCGGTCTCCTTGGCTATGGCTCCAGGGGCGCCTGTGGGTCCTCTGGCTCCTGCTCAGCGGTCACCTGCAGGTCCCCTTTCGATGACTCGTTGGCCCCCTTTGGCCCCGCCTCTGACGCCTCATCGGTCGCCTGCGGGTTCCCCCATTTCGACTCGTCGGTCGCCTGCGGGTCCCCCCACTCCAGTTCGTTGGTGGACGCCGCCTTCACCTGCTGTGGCTGTGCCGTCGCCTGCTGCAGCTTCCCCTCCCTCCTTGCCTTTGCTGGGGTCCCATTCACCTTCCTCCTTGCCTCCCCTGGTGCCCCCTCCGACTTCCTCCTCGCCTCCTCCACCTGTCCCTCTGCCTGCCTCCTTGCCCCCTATGAGGCCTTGCGGTCGCCTGCTGCCCCTGCAGCTGCTGCCTTCCGCCCACTGGGGTTCCCTCGGGCTCCCTGTTGTCCCCTGTCCTTTCCCTTCCGGCCTCCAGTGTCTGCTCCTCATCCCTCTGTGTCTCCTGTATTCCCTCCTGATCCTTTCATTCCTCCCGTTTGTGTTCCCCTGGTGTCTCCTTTTTTGGTGTGCCTGTCTGCGGTTCCCGTTCTTTGTCAGGTGTTGTCCTGGTTTCTGCCGTTGTGCCTGTTCTGTGTGTCCTGTTCCCGGTCCCTCGTTGACGTTCTTGGTCTTGTTTTCCAGGTCCTGTGTTCCCAGTCCCGTCTCTTCATTCCCCTGGGGCGTGCCCGGAGTTCGCACCTTTGGGGGGGGGTTATGTCATGACCTGCTCGTCCGATCCTCCTGTGTGCCACGCCCCCTCATTTACCTCGTGTGAAACCCTGATTGTTCTCAGCTGTTTCATGTTATTTCTGCTTAGTCCTATGTATTTTAGTCCTTTTTTTTCCCCTAGGACTGTCATTGAAGTCTTTACCGTGTTTTGCCTTGTCTGCTTGTTTTACCCAATAAATCCCCTGTTTCTTGGACTACGGTCTGCCTGACCTTGATTCCGCGCTCCCTGCTCGCCTAACTGCGTGCGGTCATCACAATATGGCAGTCAGGGAAACAGGAGAAAATACACAAGTATGTGATGAGGAATGACAAGATGGGCTGGCCAGCGACACCTGCTGGCTAAACGGGGAAGCGACCCAAAGGGTAGGGTCGGATGGGTGCTGACCCTAACACCATACTCCTCACATACTCAGCAACTTGTACAATTTGTAGAAGTGCTGGATGGACCAACTGAAAATGTGAAAGTTAATATAAAGTGGTTTTACCTGAATGCTGAATGAGTCCTAGTTGTGATGTGAGTTAGTGTTCACAAGACCAAGT